ACTTACAGACATCCTGTTGTCCAGACTCCCCAATCATACACATCTAGATGTGTATAAGAGACAGCACACACACACACACACACACACACACACACACACACACAGGAGTCTTAAAAAGTCTAACTTACATGGTAGTTGTTGAGTATGTTGAGACAAAGCGGTGGATAGAGTGGGAGGAGTAGGTGTGGCTTTCTTCCCATCTTCTACAATGACGACCGAATTCAATCAAGTTGATTGCCCTCGTTCTAAGGAATTACTAGGAATGTGAGGACAAGCAGTTGGTTGGTGGCTGGAAACAAGGGTAGGGCCACACAGAATGTTCTGGAATGTTAGATTATAATGCGTGCAACGGGATAGCCTGCAAGGAACGAGTTTCAACAGCCTTGGGCAGTGGAGGCACACCCTGGAGCACACACTCAGCGCTGTCTTTGGGGTTCGCATGAGATTTGGGGATTAAACCACCGCTACCTCCGAGCCTCTTTTTGCCAAGGCGGATTCCCACAGTGCACCAAGCTTCACCGAAGCGCCATGGCATTTTTTTTTTCCCTTCTTTTGGCTGGCGCCGCCAGTATGGGCTCTGGTAGCCCTGAGCCTCTGAAGACCCCGGAATACATTATCGATTCTCCATGTTGCCTGGGAAAGGTAGTGGTGGGTTGACTGGGAACTTCTTGAAAATAACCTGCTTCAAAAGAAAGAGTAAAATAGAAACATCAATAAGTGACAAAAACGAAGAAAGACAATCAAAAGCACAAAAAGTTTTTCATCTTTATTAAAGCTTATTCGCATTTTATTTCGTTCTATTTTAATCATTTTGTTATCCATATTCTAATGCTTTCCAGGAAGTTTCTATATCTTGAAAGGATTTCACGCCACAGTAAGTTTACCAAGTCCTGGTCCCCAAAGTCCCAATGGTCCCAAAGTCCCCATGGTCCCAAAGTCCCCATGGTCCCAAAGTCCCAATGGTCCCAGTCCCACAGAAGTAACTGATTCGGCAGACCCAGTGTCCAAAGTGCTGTACCTGGGTCCCGTAGGTCAGTAGAGTCCAGTTGGCAGACGGAAAGTTTCAGGTCGTTAGAAGTCTGATAGGCTCAGTACCCAACAAGAAAAGTCCAGTCCCAGTCTAAATTTGGCAGCAGTGAAAGGCCTTCCACGATTCAGACCCCAAATTTGGGCCTCAGGGTCAGAGGCCTGGTTAAGAGAGACCGAGCTCGTCAAATTCAGAAAAGTCACAATCGGGCACCTCAGGAGTCCAGTCCAACAGGAACCCAGCAAACAGTCACATCTTAGGGGCAAGAGTCACGTCTCAGAATGAAAAGTCATATTGAATAGTCACGTCCCACCAGTAAGAGGGCAGTTCCACAGGTGAGAGTCGTGTCCCAGAGGCAGGAGACACAGTCCACAGTCAAAACTCATGATCACAAATGAAAAGTCATGACTCAAAGGCCCAAGCAGCAGCAGACCCATGGAAATTCGGGAAGGTTCTAGGCCTTGACATTCAGAAGCAGACTGGCCGTGGGGATGTGGTACCGGAACCAGTCAGGCCCCAAGAAGCAGAGGCTGGCACGAGTTGAAGTGCATTCCAAGAGTACAAAAGGACTGGCCAGCCTACCATTCAGGCAGATGCTCATTCACATGAGTGTGGAAGTGCTTGTGCACTTGTGCGCTAGTGTGGGAGCAGCGCTATGCCAGAGAGCAGCGCTGAGTGAGATGAGAGAGAGGAAGTAGGTGCTGGCAGGGAAGAAGGCAGTCATAGCTGCGCCAGCACCAGGAGGCAATGGAGTTAGTAGTTAATAGTAGTAGAGCAGTGAGTAGTATTCAGAGTTGATCCTCATGTGTGTGTTAGTAGTAGGGAGTGCGCATGTGAGAGAAGAAGAAGACTGTTGAGAGTGAAGACCAGAATCATCAAGTGAGAGAGAGACAAGAGGGAGAAAGAGTGAGCTATAGTAGGTACTTACCTGAAGAGTGTTGAACTTGGTGTTGGTAACAAGAGCTGATGAGCGCAGATGCTGAGACTCTTGATGATCGAAGAAGACTTGTAATCTTGTTGAGCAGGTGAACTCTTGATCCTCTCTTTTAAACCTGGATATGATAATTGAGCTGCGCTATCTGGTCTACTACACATCTATGTGCAAAATGTGACATGCATGCTACATAGTGTGAGCACTCCATCGTGTGATGAGCTCTGAGGCTCATTGCAGCAGCATCCTGGGAAAATATGGTGCGTTCCAGAACTTGCAAAAATGAAGCCGACAGGCCTTCGGAGACCGTTACCGGTCTGGAGCCGGCAAAGATCTGAACTCAGCTACTATTTCCCAAGAACGCACTTGTCAATTTGTGTGCTGCGGAAGCGCTGGTGAACACTTGCGCGGCCATACAGGTGGACTGGTCAGGGAGATTGAGGGAGAAGCCAGCGCTCGGGCACCATAGCTAGGGCTAGCTAGGAGGCAGACGACCACCATAGCC